GACATTTCATTTCCAATACATCCTAAATTAAATCAAACAATATTCGAAAAACTATCTGATAAATATTACCTTTCATCATAGCACCATAAGTAATAATATCTTTCTTCTTGATTGAATGAAAAATACATTCTGCACTTTCAACATTACCAAATTTCATTAACATATCTATTGCTGAATTTAATACAATATTATTATTTCGATAATCATTAGGCATTTCATGAAGAAGTTTTTTTCCAATTTTCATTGCTCGATCATTAGCAAGTTGAGCACATGCATTAAAAACAATTGTATAGATTACATCATCTAATTTCAAATCGATCTTTTCAAATAAATCCAAGGCTTTTCAGACATTTCATTTCTAATATATCCTAAATTAAATCAAACAATATTCGAAAAACTATCTGATAAATGTTACCTTTCATCATAGTACTATAAATAATAATATTTTTCTCCTTGATTGAATCAAAAATACGTTCAGCACTTTCAACATCACGAAATTTCATTAACATATCTATTGCTGAATTTAATACAATATTATTATTTCGACAATCATTAGACATTTCATCTAGAAGTTTTTTTCCAATTTTCATTGCTCGATCATTAGCAAGTTTAGCACATGCATTAAAAACAATTGTATAGATTACATCATCTAATTTCAAACTGACCTTTTCAAAAATTTGTAACCGTTCGACTATAGAAACTGGACAAGTACTTCAGTGGATATCAGGCAGAAATGGGATCGACTCGTGCTCTTCTTTTTTGAAACCGAATCCAATAGGCTATTGTCTAAACCACCCTATTGAAAGCCATTCCAATAGACGAGTACTTCTGACTAAATACATTTACCAGGATACATAATTTGATTGATATATCTCTTAGAACGATGTAGAACTTGATGAATATGCCATATTCAAAGTCCTAGTCGTTTTCTGAAGAGTTTTGCACTAATATTATATTTTTTTGAATATGAGATTCATTTTAGTTGTATAACAGGCCTCGAAATCAGGCCACTTTTATGGCCTGATTCGGGCCCGAAAGAAACTTCGTTTACAAAGATTTTTTTCTCAATAGACAGCTGTTCCAGGTTTTTCGGCTTTTATAACAAGTGATGATCAAGAGGAGGGGAGTAGTGTGGAGAAGTTTTCCCCTATCTCTTTTCAAAGGTGAGCCAAATCTCAGAAAAAGTTATGTCAAAAAAGGATAAGTTCATCAGGCTGGGGAGCCCATTTCGAGGTCTGCTATATAACACTCGAAGGAATAGATGAATACTTTATGTTCGATGTTATATTCTTCAATATTTATACAAAAAACAACAAATGATCATGAAAATCATTGCATTATAAGTCTATTTAGCTTAAGGGCATATTAATTGAATAGATTAGCCAATCTATAAAAAGTTTAGTCTATTTCAAGATTGAACTATTCTTCTAATGCATTTCCAAAAATTTTCTAATTTTTTTTTATTACTGTTGATTTCATCGTAATGTGTCCGACGTTAGCAAAATGTTGTACAACACTTCTTTTGGAATTTGATTTGATACACTATGCACCAAAAAGCGCTTGTCAACGGAACCCCTTTGGGGTCAAGCTGTGAAGCTTACATGTGTTCTTTAGCCTCATTATCATAATATTTATTTCGAACAGAAATTTTTTTTTGCGGATGCTCTACTTTTTGCTTGTCTTGCCACTATTCGCTTGTTGCTTGATCATATGACGATTGTATCAAATCAATTCATCACTACTCATCATACTTGACATTTTACACATACATTTTTATCTAGACGAAAATCAAACACTGCACAATTTAGAACATTCACAAACGTATCCCAGTCATTCAAACTTCGAGCAAGGCTTTGGAATATTCTAGAAGAGTCTTTAATGGCATTCAATGCCTTTTCCATCATGCTAAGAAACTCTGGGAAAGCATTCTTTCACTCAAGAAGAAGATATTTGTACATGTTAACCTACAGTATCCGCCATAAGTGGGGATGAGCTCGTTTTCTTGTTCAATAATGACTTTTATTTTATCTTTTTGCTTTGTTTGAACGGGCTAGTCAGTCTCATCGTTCGGTATCAATAGGAGCATTTATATTCATTCTATTATCAATTTATAACTAAATAGAAAAGCTGTTAGCGCAATCCCTTGCAGGATTAAAAATGTGAAACACGATATACCTATTCTTACTAATTCTCTAAAAACTTTTCTTTTTTACGTATACTGGGCATATTCCACCTGCATTGCTAAATTGACAGAGTAGAATTCTATAAAGGAAATACTCCATCAATACTCCGATTAGATGTTAGTTATACAGAACATTTGATAGTCTGCTGAAGGCGGCTATCAGTCGCTGTGCAGACCCATGTGTGCCAAGAAGGCATATCATCTTATGTGATATCTTTACTTTCTCAGTGTGTTCTTGTACAATCAATGTTACGTAGTGTTCACAATCGCATTGCTCTTACGTTTATATACACTTGATTGAATCCTATTCGCTTTCTGTCGTAATGCGCTTCTCATTCTACATTCACTCGTATATTATATGTATTGCTCTCATCTATGTGTTCTTACTCGATTGTTCTTCTATCCCATTGGCGCATAAGTTCTGAGAATTTTTTTTCTGGTTTAACAATAACTTTATTTTTCAACAAAGATATGCAACGTCAATCAACAATATAATCGCCATTATTTTCGACAATCTTCGCTCATCTTTCTGGCAATAGTTCAATTCCACGTCTGTAGAAACTACCCGGTTTTGATTCGAAAAAGGGAGTTAGATCGGATTTCAGCTCATCGAAGTCTTCGTAGTGTTTATTGCACAGGTAGTTACGAAGAGATAGGAAGAGATGATAATCGGATGGTGCAAGGTCTGGTGACCACGGCGGGTGCGAAAGAACTTCTCATCCTAACTGTTCGATTTTTTGCTGAGCCAACTGTGTCACATGAGGTCGACTATTGTCATGGAGAAGGATGACGGCTTTTTGATTCGCCAAAGCCGGTCGCTTTTGAGATAGAACTTCATTCAATCGTTGCAATTGTTGAGAATAGACATTGGCGGTAATCGTTTGATTGATATCTAACAGCTCAAAATAGATGACACCTTTCATATCCCACCAGATGCACAACATTATCTTCTTTGGATGCATGTCTGGTTTTACGTCCGGGAATGGCTTTTAGTCAAGATCAAGCCACTGCCTTCTGCGACGCACGTTGACATAACCAACCCATTTTTCATCTCCAATGACAATTCGTTCCAAAAATGGCTTATGCTTCTGTCGGGAAAGCAGTGAAGCACAAATCGATGCTCGCTGAATCAAGTTGTCTTTGGATAATTGGGGTGGAACCAAACGTCCATACTTATGTACCTTACCGAGAGCATGAAGATGACGCTCCGCTGTCGAGTGGTGACAGTTGAGTTGTTCGGCTAATTCGCGTGTTGGTTGACGTGGATCAGCGTCGAGCAAAGATTGAAACGCTTCACCGTCAAAGTCCACAGGTCGCCCGGAGCGAGGTTTATCCGTCAAGGTGGTATCTTCGGAACGGAACTTGGAAAACCATCGGTAACAAGTGGAACTGCCGACCGCTTCCTCGCCATATGCCGCATGAATATTCTTTGTTGCTTCAGCTGCTGTTGAACCTCGATCGAACTCGTAGAGCATACAGTGACGAGTATGAATTTTTTGTTCATCCATTTAATCATAAACAAGGTAACAAGAGAATAGAAGAGAATATATATATATAAAACGATAATAGTATGACGTATTACAAAATACGCAATAGAAATATTATTATGTAATAGATATATTATTGCGTAATACGAACACAAAAGATCAAGGTCAATTTCAATGTTTTTTTGACCTTGAGAGAACAAGAACGAATGTATAGTAGTGAAATGAAAGTAAATGAAAGAACAAAAGAAATACACATAAAACAATGGCGATTATATTGTTGATTGACGTTGCATATCTTCGTTGAAAAATAAAGTTATGGTTAAACCAGAAAAAAAAGTTCTCTGAGCTTATGCGCCAATGTAATATATCTGTTCTCTCATTGGCCTCATCACTTGTTCATTCTTACATTGCATAATCTTCTGTTATATCTTTCCTCTTTCCTTTCCTTTCCTTCCCTTGTATTGTATTATCTATTCTCTCTCTTCTCGCCCATCCCTCTCCTATATAAGCTCATGTTGTGTATGAGAGTGTTACATTTGGATGTAGTGCACAGTCGAATAAACATCATGGTCACAATGAGATCAAAGACATTAATGTGCTTCTCCATTTGTCATAACGAAATTATATATATATATAGAATATATATATACATACGCGGCGGAAGCTGGAGGCTGAGTGAGTTATAAGCCTCACCAGAATTTGGCACTGTTCGGCTTAGTATCACCTGTTTTCGACACTATTAGGCTCTGAGCCTCACCCAAATTTGACTTTGAGCCTCATCCGATTTGAAAACGTTCCGCCGCCCCTGTATATATATATATATATATATTCTTCGTTACACCATGAACGGTGTCTGTCACGGCTGTCAGGGGTCCGAACTTGTCTGTCACGGTCTGTGATGAGTCCGTGCCTGTCTGTCACGATCTGTGACGGCTAATTAGTTAACTAAATACTAATTAATTAATCAATTAAGATGTCTGTCACGATCTGTGACGGCTAATTAGTTAATTAAAAACGAATTAATTAATCAACTAAGATGCCTGTCACGGTCTGTGATGGTCTCTGAAGTCTGTCTGTCACGGTCTGT